TGTGTGTGTGTGTGTGTGTGTGTGTGTGTGTGTGTGTGTGTGTGTTCATGCCACTGTGTGCCACTATGCACCTGTGGAGGTCAGAGGACAACCTGCAGGAGTGGACTCTCTCCTTCCACCATGTGGGTCCTGGGGATCACACTCAGGTTGTCCAGTTTGGTGGCAAGTACCCTTACCTCACTACCCTCTTTGCTTTCTTTTTTGCTTCTGAAATTGATGCAGAGAGTATTTAAGAGGCCAGTTACTAGAGTCACCCGGCAAAGGTCCCTGTGACTGCAGAAGTTAAAATAACATTCTCGGCGGGATGGCTCCCCTGAAGCTTCCTTCTCAGGGCATCTTACTGAATTTGGGGATGCTGTGGTGGGGTCAGGCCGTGGTCTTCCACCTGATGCCAGGCAGTTCTGTCAGAGTATACACACCGGTCATTTATCTACAATGACGGTGAGGGCTGGGTATATCTAGGGATCTAATCCAGCCCCTCATTTCATAGAAGAGGAACAGAGTCCCAGAGAATAGCAGGCCTGAGGACACAGCAGCAGACACAGCAACAGCAGGGATCCACCCAATTCTCAGTCCAGCGACTCACGCCTTCACTCTGCCTAGTTACCCTGCTCAGAAATGGCCAGAGTCTTCCCTTCCCGCAGGCACTAAACAGACTGAGCTAGACACACACCCTCTTATGACAAGTAGGGACCCATGCTGGATGAGTTCCTGTAGAGCAGTGGGCCCACCCCTCTGGCTGATCCTGTGAGCATGCTCGCTTTACTCAGGGACCACAGCCACTCCCAGGGACTTTCAGAGATGACTCCCCAGGAACGTGGCCCCATCCTTACTCAAGATGGGCCAGGCTTGTTGGCACAGGTTTTTAGGCCAAAGCAAGGTGAATCACCCAAAGGGCAAGGTTCTCAGCTTCCTCTCCCTGTAGATATAGCCCTGGGCTCCCCGGCAGAGAGAACAGGCAGATAGAGACCAGGGAAGAGAGATAGCCACTTGCTTGAACTTCAAGGTAGGGAGGAATTGCCTGGTACCACCTTCAGGAAAGGTATGACCCTGGCTAGAGCTCAGAGTCCCTAAGACACGAAAGCCAAGCCTCAGAAAATGGAAGCCAGTAGAAGAAATGCCTCCCCCAAAGGGGCAGTTGGTGGGCAAGGATGAGGTCTCCTGCTCTGCCACTAGTCTGGGTCTTGTAAGATTCCTCTGCTCCCCAAAGTCAAGCAGCTATCTATCCACCCCTGCTGCTCTTTCTGCCATGCAGGTGGGGAATTTCTCTCACCTTGTCAGAGAGACTGAGGCACAGAAAAATAGCAAAGGGTTAAGGACAGTTCCAGAGGTAGGGGTCTAACCTTCTCACCCTTCTCCTGCCCAGAACTTCAGAATGCTAACAGTAGCAAGGGGGCCCTTCTTGTGTGTCATTTTAAATGTCTAAATATGCATTGTTATGCACACGTGTGAAAGTCCATAAATCTAGATGATCCACATCATAATATTGGAGTGCTGTTATGGAAATATAAAATGTCAAATTCTTAAAATGCCTTTTTCTCATTCTCTGGTGCTGGTGGCCTGGGCGTGTGTCCTTTCTGCTCACTGGGAATTCAGATCTGCTAAGCCACCACAGAGGCCAACACTTCCCCTCCGACGACCCCCTGAACCCCGCCTCTGCCTCAACTTGTTGCAGGAGTGCCAGGCAATGCAGCCCAGCCAGGAAACAGGGCCCCCGCCACACAACTTCCCCTCCTCCCCGCTGGCTGTCCCAGAACCTCAGCCAACTCCCTGATAAAAGTCTGGGCGGGTTCGTGGGGAGAGAAACAAGGGAGTGCCAGCCAGGCTGACCTGTGACCTGGTCTGTTGGAAGTCACTGGTCCCCAGTTAAAGGGCGTCCTTCTAACATCCTCCTTCCAGCCTCACCCAAGAGAAAGGGAAGCGGCAGCCTCGCTGACGTGAGGCGAATGACAGGTAGCAGCAGCCCCTGAACAGAACACAGGTAGAGGTGGGCTGCATGCCAGAAGCATGTGGTTAATTTTCCCTGCTCACCAGTGAAATCAGTACTTGCTGGGCATTTACAGTGTGCCTGGCACTGAGCCAACTGTGCATTGCTTTATGTAGTATTTGTTTTTGAGATAGTGTCTTACAGTGTAGCCCTAAATGGCCTTGAACTTACTATTCCAAGCTGGTCTTGAGCCAAAGGCTCTCCAGCCTCCCTCTTCCTCCTGAGTGCTGGGATCACAGGCATGCACTACCACACTCTGAACAAATTTGCCTATAGTCCTGAGGATCCTGTGAAAAAACAAACAAACAAACTGAGCCTCAAAGATGTTCTCTGTCCTGTCACCTAGTAGGGTCAGGGTTAGAAACATTCTCTACCTCAAGTCCTGTGAGCAATACATGATTTTCTTGATTGAGACACTAGGGCCCCTTTAATCCCATATGTGTCCGAAAATGATGTGTATTTACAAAGGGAAAGAAGAAAACAAGAGTGCTGAGATGTTAATAAACCAGCAGAGAGGAGTTGGGGATTTAGCTCAGTGGTAGAGCGCTTGCCTAGCAAGCACTAGGCCCTGAGTTCGGGCCTCAGCTCCGGAAAAAACAAACAAACAAACAAATAAATAAATAAACCAGCAGAAAAACAGCAAGGCTGGTTTGGGAAGTGGTCTGCTGTCCAGAATAAGGGCTCCTTACGGAAAGTGTCTGTTTTAGTAAAGTCTTACAGTTGAGGTCGCTAAAGATGGATGAGAATGTTTTGTTTGTTTTATTTATTTACTTTTAATAACTATTATCTTGGTTTTTTGTTTGTTTTTTGTTTTTGGGTTTGTTGTTGTTGTTGTTGTTGTTTTTGTTTTTGTTTTTGAGACAGGGTTTCTCTATGTAGCCCTGGCTGCCCTGAAACTCACTCTGTAGACCAGGCTGGTTTCGAACTCAGAGAACTCTGCCTGCCTCTGCCTCCTGAGTGCTGGGATTAAAGATGTGCACCACCACCTGGCTTGTTCGGGTTTCTAAAGAATACTTACTTCTTTTATGCGTATGCATGTGCCTGTTCACCACACACATGCAGAAGCCCACAGAGGTCAGAAAGGGGCATCAGGTCCCCTGGACCTGGAGTTATAGGTGGTGTGGACCACCATCTGGGCACTGGGGACAGAGCCTGGGTCCTCTGCAAGAGCAGCTAGTGCTCTTAACTGCTGAGCCATCTCTCCAGCTCCTGTCTTGTTTGTTTTGGAGGACACAGTCTCATACGGCCCATGTTGACCTCAGACTTGCTGGGTAGCTGAGGCTGGCCCTGAACTTCTGATCCTTCCCTTGTTTCCCAAGCGCTGAGGTCACAGGGGTGCACTGACATGGAAAATGCAAAATGAATGTAAGGGAAATCCACTGAGGAAGCTTGCCAGCTCTTGAGAGTCTGGTCTCATCCAGCGGTGTGTTTGACTTGAGGCAGTAGCTATGACTGGAGTTACTTTGAGTTAGTAAATTCAGCAAAGAAAGATGAGGGTAAATAACAAGGAAAAGAGAAAATTATTTCTGCACAGATAAGCCAACAAAGAAGACATTGCCACACTGGTTGTGGTGGCACACTCCTTTAATCCAAGCACCCAAGAGGCAGAGACAGCCAGATCTGTGTGAGTTCAAGGCCAGCCTGGTCTATGCAGTAAGTTCTGGGTGAGCCAGAGCTACACAGCGAGATCCTGTCTCCAAACAAACAAAAATTTAAGACACTGACTGTATGTTAGAGTCACGCAGCTGAAGGGCAGGGAATGAGGCTTGGTTGGTGGGATGCTTGCCTAACATGAACAATGACCTGTATTCAGTTCTCAGCACTACATAGACTAGCCATGGTGGTGCGTGTCTGTAATCCCTGCAGGAAGAGGAGGTCATTTATCTTCGTTCAAGGCCATTCTTGCCTACATGGGAAGTTCAAGGCTGGCCTAGGATAAACGAGACCCAAGAAGGAAGAAAATGAGAGAGGAAGGAGAGACTTTTTTCATATCCAAGGTGTGCTTTATGGAGCTTTATCAATGCTCTGGGCAAGCAGGAAGCCAAGTGTACCAACTCCCCAAAGGAGAGAACTGGTGATGGGTGAGAATGAGTCACCTTCTTCTCTCAGCTGGCACCAAGAACTTGGTCACTGGGAGACTATCTTCTGTGTATGTGAGGGCATGCAGGCAATAAAAGGCTAAGGGACCATGGGACATTATCTAATTGTATTCATTTCCCCAGAGGCCCTCTGGGGAAGTTGCAGATTTCTAATTCAAAATATACATCTCTAGAAAGTCATGTTTTTATATCAGGCCAAAGATTGGTAGTAAGTACATTTGCTGTCAAAGGGGATGTAGCGTCCTTGCCTTTGGGAGAGGAAAATTAAAAAGAAGCTAAAGTCAGAGGGATCATTTTATGCAAACCAAGCAGGGCAGAGCCAGCACTCTATCAACTCCTAGAGCACTTGGCTGTTTTAAAGCAAATGTAATGCATGTGGACGGTGTATATATGCATAGCACAGATCCTAGCTGTTCCGTGTGCGGGTCCCTCCTGTGTGGCAGGTGCCTTTTAATTGTTTTTGAAAACCAATCCTCATAAAATGATCTTAAGGGGTTGAGGGCTTAGCTCAGTGGTAGAGCGCTTGCCTAGCTAGCGCAAGGCCCTGGGTTCAGTCCTCAGCTCTGGAAAAAAAAAAAGAAAGAAAGAAAGAAAGAGAGAGAGAGAGAGAGAGAGAGAGAGAGAGAGAGAGAGAGAGAGAAAGAAAGAAAGAAAGAAAGAAAGAAAGAAAGAAAGAAAGAAAGAAAGAAAGAAAAAGATCTTAATAATAATTACTCTGTAGCTGAGAAACATGTAGCTTAAAGTCAAGCAGCTGAAGGGCAGGGGATGAGTCTCAGTTGGTAGGATGATGAAGCATTGATAAAGCCTCATAAAGAGCACCTTGGATATGAAAAAAAATCCCTCCTTACCTCCTCCTTCTTTCCTTTTCCTCCTTCTTGGGTCTCATTTATTCCAGGCTGGCCTTGAACTCCCTATGTAGACAAGAAATAACTTGAGAGCTGGAATTCAAATACAGAACAGCCTGCCTCCAGAGCCCATCACTGCCCGGCACACCCTGCTGGATTTCTGGCAATGCCAGAAGATGCTAGGAAAGCCGGATGGATGTTCAGATACATTGAGGAGCTTGCCTGCAACCCTCCAGCTAGTCACGATGGCCTTTTGACTTTAATTCCAGAACCTTTTTCTGCTATAGTGTACAAACCTTCTTAGGACAGGAAGGGAAACCGGGCTGAATGTATGTGCCTCAGACCTCTGGGTGCAAGGATGCTGCATGGTCCTCTCTCCCCCAGGCATTCCTGGAGAAGTATGGATACTTCAATGAGAAGGGTTCGAAAGCTCCAGCCTCCACGCAGTTCAGCAATGCCATCAGGTATGATGGAGGGATGTAAAGGGTACAGGATACGGAGCTCCAACTCCCCCCCCCCCTGCCGCCGCACCCCCGCCTCTGCGGTCCTTTCGCTCAATTCCTCCTGGCAGAGAGTTCCAGTGGGTGTCCCAGCTGCCCATCAGTGGCGTGTTGGACCGGGCCACACTGCATCAGATGACACTTCCGCGCTGTGGGGTTGCAGACGCCGACAGTCATGCAGCTTGGGCAGAGAGGATCAGTGCCCTGTTTGCTGGACGCCGGGCCAAAATGAGACGTAAGAAACGCTTTGCAAAGCCAGGTGAGTGCATTGAAATCCAATTAGGCTGGGGTTCCCCGGGGGCCCAGAAGATCCCACGGCCAAAAACTGTGGCTGAGTTGATGAGTGGGGGACTCTGGGAGAAAGCCTCTCTTGACTCAGGCAGAAGAGGGGCGGATCCTTTGGCTCAAGGATCATAATCAGGACTACAGATATTTAACTCTAAATTATATCTGCATTGTTGAATTTTCATTGCACATGTATTCTCCGGATTAAATCCCATCAAGCCCACTTAATCCTCTGATCAATTTTCTACGCAGGGCAGTTAAACAACTGTCAATTTTTTTCTTTATATTCTATTGAAGTTATTTCCATAAGAATTGATTCTTTTCGTAACGCTTATTCAACCAAGATGTGATCTGTTAACAAGTTTTATTCTGTTCATAGCACATTAAGAAAAAAAAGTTTTTAAAAACAGTTTTATTTAAAGGGAATTCACATGCCATGCAATTTACCATTTAAAGTATCCAGTTTAGAGGGGTGTAGTATATCTGTGGAATTGTGCAACCATTACCACAAGCTAATTCCTCCTTCCAGAACATTTTCATTGTCCTCTGAAGAAACCCCATGCCTGTTATCTGTTAACTCCCCATACGCCCCGCTGCCAGCCCTGGCAACCACTAATCTGCTTTGTGTCTCAGGGGACCCGCCTCTATTGGACATTTCGTCACAGTCCATTCTGTACACCATACAGTTACTCCTGCTGGGATTTTCCTTGTTTTCTTTTTCCCTCTCCTCTTCCCCCTTCCTGCTCCTCTCTTTCCAGTGCTGGGACTGGAACCCAGGGCCATGAGTGATGCCGCTGACCTACATCAAAAAGTTTCTCCTCTCCCTCTTCCTTGCCTCCCTCCTCTTCTCTCTCCTCCTTCTCTCCCTCCTCTCCTCCTTCTCTCTCTTCCTCTTCTTTCTTCTGCTCTTCTTCTACCCCTCCCCCAAATATTCCAGGGTCACTGCGACTCATCTATAGTTTATGAAGATTTGATTCTTCTATCAATCTTCCACAAATAAGAGTTTTGCTATGTAAAATTGTGGTATCATGATTGCTTTGATGAAGTCAGTTTTTCTTTGGTCAATTTTTGCAGCTTTCAAGGTTGTTCACAAGATGAGGTTTTTCTGTCAGACTTTCAAGTATAATTAATTTTACTGTGCACACATTGGGCTGTGGCCACTTTTAATTGTGCTGCTTTTACTGACCTCGCTCTCTGTACACAGGATTGAACACACAGAATTTGTTTTCATTTCTTAGTTAATGTATAAGGAGATTGTGGGCAGCTGCAGGGTGGCTGTTCCCAAGCACATGCTAGTCCGTTTCTGCTGCATTTACATGTCCACCCACCCTGGCTGCCCTGTTCTGAATGACCATATTCATCCAGTCAGTTCTGGGGTCCTGGCACTGGGGTCAAGATGTCCGTGGTGTCAACATGCTGTACATCCCATTGTGTTTCTGGGCAGCAGAGAGGAAGAGTGAAGTGGGAAAGGGGAGGTACATGTTCATCCCAGGCCAGAACAGAGAGAACACTATCCCAGAGCCCGAGGCACTGGGTTCAAGTATCGGCTGTCATGACCAAGTTATGTCACTTGGTTCTGATCCCTCATCCTCCTTCATGGACGAGTCAGGACTGCCTAGGTTGCAGAGGAGAGCCATCCAGGACTGTGGCGTGCAAGGGGCCTGTGAGAATGCTGTGGGAAGTGAGCAAGCCCAGAAGCACTTGAGCCTGAGCACTGGGGATGCTTCCTTCTGGCTGCGGCTCATCTTCTCCTGCCCGAAGGTAGGGTCTAACTGAGTGCATTCAGAGCTAGCAGTTTGAGTACCTGATTGCCAGATAAACGCAGGGTGCCTAGTTAAGTTAGAACTTCAGATAAACAGTAGGTAATTGAATTTATATTTTCTTATTTAAGTTTTACTAGGCATCCTGGATTCATATCTGCTGCATCTGCCAACCTCAGGCCAAGTACCTGCTCCTCTCTGTGCCTGCAGGGCTGATTTCTAACCCCTGTCCCTTCACAGAGTTGGGAGGTTGGGGAGCGGGGTGTGCATCTGAGTTGAAAAAGGAAATCAAAGCTCAATGTGCATGTTCTAAGCCCCCACCACATTTCAGGCAGCTTCACAATGCTATTCCAAAAGGTAAGCCTTATTAACCCCACTGTACAGAGGGGGAAACTGAGGCTTGGAGAGATTCCACAATTCCCGAGGACTTGCATGTGCAGAACCACAATTTCAGCCCTATCCCCTTTCCTATCCTCAGTGCCCTGCCGGGAGTCAGGACTCCACAGTCCTTCTAACGCAGCTTCTAGCTTTCCTGTCCCTGTCCTCCTTAGCATCTTGTCTTCCCTCTTCCCATGGGGACCCTGGAGAGAGGGCCATACTGCATGCTGGGGGCTGAAACAGCCAGCCTTCTCCTGGGGAGCCAAGGTAGAAGAGGACAGGAGAGCAGGCTAGTGCTGCCCCTACCCACACAGACAGGCAGTTCCTTCCTTCCTGGTCCCTCCCAAGGAAAGCACTTTTTTTTTTCTTCTCAATTCCTGTTTCTATTCACCCTCTCGACCCTTTCCCCACCCCACCTCACCCCACTTCACAGAGGAATTTTTTCTTGAGAACCTATTACCTTCACTGGCTACTAAAATGACTACCACCCTCCTTCTTTCCTGCCTGACAGGCCCTAACTGCAGAAGGAGCCACCCCTTACCATTTGCTAGAGGGTTAAAGGTTTGGTGATGGCGGTCGGGAAGAGATTCGGCCACTCACAACAGGATGTAGGAGAGCCCAGGGCACGCTGCTCTGTGCCCTGTGAAGACTTACAGGAAGCAGCATAGTGTTCTTGGGAAAGAACGAACTGTCCTGGGTGGACACCTCTGGACCCCCAGCCTTGCCTCCACCTTCCCTTTCTCCCTCCCTCCCTCCCTATTCCCTCTTCACTCCCCGAGGACTGGTCACGGGCTCAGAGGCAGCGGCTGGCTGGGTGGTTGCCAGGCCAAACAAGCCCAAGGAGATGCATTGCCTTGAATGGAGCGGGGCACACCCCACCCCCACTTTCATGGGTGGAGAGGGCCAGAATAAACCTCCCTCCCATCGCGGAGCGGGGAGGGGGGGAGAGGGGGAATCTCGGCCCTTGCTAAGCTTTGACCCGATCCAGTAGTGTTTAGGCAGCTTTATAGGCCTGGCATCTCTGCAGAGAGAGCTGCTTCTCTCTGTGGACTGTAGGGGCACTGGGCCAGGGGTCGGGCCCCAGCTCGGCTCCCCTCGCACTCTGCAGCTGTGGGCAGGCGCCTTCCCCTGGGTCACACAGTCATCCAAGTCTGGGCCTGGGGAATCTTGCCTGTGAGCTCTGGGGCTTCCATTTGGGATTTTTAGTCTCTGAGCTACAGGGCTCGGAGGCCGTCCCTGAGAAACTCAGAAGCCAGACTTTCTGGCTTCTCTGTTCCTGGTGGATGGCAGACTGCAGATGGGTCCAGTATAATGAATGACCTGGGGCTGTGGCAGAGACCAGAGTCCCAGCCCTCAGGGAGAAACTGAGGTTTGGGGCAAAGGGGAAGACGCTTAAGTAAGAAGAGATGGAAAACTTTTCCTGGGCCTGTGACAAAACACACCCTTTGTTCTTACTTGACTTCAACTCCTCCGAGGTCTCAGAGTCCCTAAGGGGGGCAGGGAAAGACCTCAAATATATGGTTATTTTGGTTGTTGGCCAGCCACAGGCCCTAGGTTCTGGCAATTGCAGAGTCTCTGGGAGGGGACAGGAGACCATGAGGGTAGAGGGAGCGCCTTGGGGCAGGCACAGCTGTGACCTCAGTGGCCCCAACTGACTCTCCATCTGGACGCTGAGGACGGGCCTCCAGTGACTGTCAGCAAGAGGCCTCACTCGAGGCTGTGGGAAAGAACTAAGACCCGAGACCAGGGCTTCAGACTGATCTTGAAAGAGGTCTTTTCTGGGCAGAAGCTATATCTCTATCATCAGACGGTGCCTCTCAGGCCACTGGATTGGAGACTCTCCAAGGGAAGGGTAGTCTGCCCAGGGTGAGAGCTCCCTTCCGCAGGGACATATCTTCCCTCCTATCAAATGGGAGGCCGCTCAAGGCAAGGACTGAGTGTTCCCTATCAGATCAGGGGCTCCCTGGGGCAGGGCCAGCCCATCCTACTGTTCCTGTGGGGACCAGCCTCAGCAGCAAGCATGACTCTCATGGCCTTTCTGGGTGACAGGTAACAAATGGTACAAACAGCATCTGTCCTACCGCCTGGTGAACTGGCCTGAGCGCCTGCCCGAGCCAGCTGTCCGAGGGGCCGTACGAGCTGCCTTCCAGTTGTGGAGCAATGTGTCAGCGCTGGAGTTCTGGGAGGCCCCAGCCACAGGCCCTGCTGACATCCGCCTCACCTTCTTCCAAGGGGACCACAATGATGGGCTAGCCAACGCATTCGACGGCCCAGGTGCTGCCACAAAAGCCTCTGTCCACACAGCAAGAGGGGCACCTGGCTAGGAGGGCAGCCTGGGGGTGGCAGTGCAGTTTCTATTCTTGAAACCATGGCCAAGGCAGGTTCTACCCCCCTCTCCCCCCTCAAGGGCCCTCCATCTCCTCATCTGTAAAATGGGAACAACAGCCTCTGCCCAAAATGTACCACATGGTTGAAAGAACAGCCAGATGAGGTTGGGTGGGGAAAGCCCTTTGGTAACTCTAGAGTATGCTGGGTTCTTGGAGAACATTCTGAGAGTCTGTCTGCCTGCTTCTAGACAGGCCAGTGCTTCTGTCGTTCTCCATACTAGACTCTCATTAGATTTCCAGAGGACACCATCAGCCCTTTCCTCCCCTTGCCCCCAGACAACCAGGGCAAGAGGCCTTTGCCCTGGCACTTACAGAAATGCTTCACAGATCCCAGCCACAGCTGCTTGCATCTGTCCGCAGCCTGCAGGCTTCCTCTGCAGTATAAGCCATCTTCCACTGTGCTCAGCACTGGCCTTCAGGGTCTGAAGATGGGCCATTCATGCACTCTAGTAAGGGTTAAGCAGAGCCGACAGCGCATCCAGGAAACACGAATTCCTCCTGCATTTGACAGGCTCTGCCTTCACCTTTGTGAGCCCCTGCCGACCTGGGCTCCTAGATGGCAGAGCTGGAAGGACTCTCGAGGAGCCTTCTAGGTTCACAATATCACAGTGCTGTTGCCTAACCTCTATCAGGGACACGTGCCTCAGCGTAGGTAGATATGAGGGGGAGGACCTGAAAGCTACCTCTCTAATCATGTCTGTGGGGACCGCTATACACCTGTGAGACTCACCGAGGAGCTTAACTCCTTTGCTCTCTCCTGTGATGTCAGGGAGAGAGGCCCACAGAGGGACCCTGGCAGAAGACAGGAACACAGGAATATGTGTGTGTATAAAAAACCATATACACCAGCCAGGTGTGGTGGCATGCACTTGTAACCCCAGCACTCTGGTGGCCGTGACACTGGAGGGATGGCTCAGGGTTGCAGAAGTGTGAGGGCCTGAGTTCAGATTCTCAACACTGGGGATGGAGACGGGAAAATCTTGGAGGCTCACTGGCCAGCCAATCTAGCCAAATAGCAAGCCTTAGGTTCAATGAGAGGCCCTGTCTCAAAGGGGGGAAAAAAAAAAGAGGTGTAGGAGGCTGGAGAGATGCTCAGTGGTTAAGAGCACTGGCTGTTCTTCCAAAGAACCTAAGTTTAGATCTCATCATCTTATGCTGGCTCACTTTGTAACTCTACTTTCAGGGGATCTAACGCCCCCTTCTGGCATCTGAGGGTACCAGGCACACATGTGGTACACAGACATACATGCGAGCTAAAATACTCATACACATAATAAAATAATAATTTAGCTGGGTGTAGTGATGCACACCTTTAATTCCAGCACTTGGAAGGCAGAGGCAGGCAGAGGCCAGCTTGGTCTACACAATGAGTTCCAGGACAGGCAGGGCTACATAGAGATACTCTCTCATAAAATAATGAAAAAGTTTTAAAGATAGAAAAGTGACTGAGGAAAGACATCCCAACATCAACCTCTGGCCTTCACAGGTGAGCACCCCTGCAACACACACACACACACACACACACACACACACACACACACGGCCAGCATAATAAGAATCTGTCGAAAAGAAGTGGGGTGGGCGTGAGATGGCTTAGTGGATGAAGGTGTTTGCCTCACTCTCAAACCTGCACGCAGACTGTTTGATCCCCGGGACCCACGTGGTAGAAGATGAGAATTGAGTCCCTCAAATTGTCTTCTATGTGACACATTTGACACACACACACTAAATAATAATAATAATAATAATAATAATAATAATAAACAAAAACAGTGTCTCACCATGTAGCCCGGGCTGGCTTGAACTCCCTTTGTAGACCAGACTGACCTGGAACTCAAAGAGATCCAATCTGCCTTTGCCTCCTGAGTGCTGGAGGTTAGAGGCGTGCCCAATCATGCCCAGCCATAAAAACGACAAAAAAAAAATATTTTTTTTGAGACAGGGTTTCTCTGTGTGTCCCTGGTTGCCCTGGAATTATGTAGACCAGGCCTTGAACTCACAAAGATCCTCCTGCCTCTGCCTCCCAAGTGCTGGGATTAAAGGCATGGGCCACCACTGCCTGGCTCAAAAACTTAAAAAAAAAAAAAAAAAAAAAAAAAAGTGCATACACGTAGAAGCACATTGTGTTAAGTTTGCCGACTCCTGAACACACCACACCACGCACCCAGGTCAGGAAACAGCACAAAACCTTCCCATCCCTCTTCTAGGTGTAACCAATACTAATGCCTAGGCTAGGCACCGTTCTAAGAATCAAGTGTGACACACGCTTTGAGGAAGAAGCTCTTCATTACCATGCCGATTTTCAGATCAGGAAGCTCAGCACAGAGAGATTAAGCTGTCTCCCTGAGATCACACAGGTAGCAAATGGTAAATCTAGTGTTGGAGCCCAGGCAGTTTGACCCCTAGCTGAGTCCACCGCTTAGTCATCTGCTCACCTCCCGCACTCCTGCATCTATCAGACTGGGAAGAAAGTTAGTGGATGATAGCCACACGCCCCGACGTGGGAGCGCGGTGTCTGGGAGGGAGCCCCTGGTCTCGCTCTAACCCTCCGTGCCACGCTCGCAGGGGGCGCCCTGGCGCACGCCTTCCTGCCCCGCCGGGGCGAAGCGCATTTCGACCGAGATGAGCGTTGGTCCCTGAGCCGCCGCCGCGGGCGCAACCTGTTCGTGGTGCTGGCGCACGAAATCGGCCACACGCTTGGTCTCGCGCACTCGCCCGCGCCCCGCGCGCTCATGGCGCCCTACTACAAGAAGCTGGGCCGCGACGCCCTGCTCAGCTGGGACGACGTGCTAGCGGTGCAGAGCCTGTATGGTGAGCCCCTAGCCCGCTACTGGCTCTACCCTTGTCCCCTAGGGTCTTCAGTCCTCGGTCTCTGGCTCCTCAAATAGGATTCCCTGGTCCCCGTCATTTCCTTGCTGCGATCCTTCTCTGTCCTAAAGCCCCAGGAGCCCTTGAAATCTGAATATCCGCAGACTTTGCTTTCCCCCAGTTCCCTATCAGTTCCAAGGAATTCCTAAGTGTAAACCTTTGCCCTTAGCTCAAAACCCTTTGTTTGGTCTCCCAATCTCACGTTATCTTTTTTCCTGGGCTGTTGGGTGGGAGAGGAGATTCCTGGGTTAGTGTGCTCTTGGTTCAAACCAAACAATCAGAGCTGCACTTGCTCCTCCCCTCTCCTTCCTAGGGTCTCAGATCCTGGGCAGAGTAGAGGGAAGGGCCTTGAGCCCTCCATATACGCCCACCCACGTCTGCTATCTCTCTTCTTGGATTTTAAGGGAAGCCTCTGGGACGCTCAGTGGCCACCCAGCTCCCTGGAAAGCTATTCACTGACTTTGAGGCTTGGGACCCTCGCAACTCCCAGAGGATACGCCCCGAAATCAGAGGTCCTAAATACTGCCACTCTTCCTTTGATGCCATCACTGTAGGTAAGATGGTCCCAGCCATGCCTGGTGTCTTTTTCCCCTCCTCCACATCTCTAGGGGTCCCAGAGCTGAATTACATAGTGTGGGGGAATGGAGGTATCAAGAATATAAATATCCGGAATCACGTGCTTTCCGGGGTGGAGTTGGGGGTGATGGGGGCGGGGTCCAAGCTCAGGCCCAGCATAGAACTGCTGCTTCCCTCAACCTCCATTGTGCGCTCCCCACCTTCAGCTTGTCTAGAAAACCGGGTCTAGAGCAGCACCCTCCCCCAAAGTCAGCAGGAGGCCAATGGCCTTTTCCTCACATCTCCTTTCGGGACAGATGGACAGTGGCGACTGTACGTCTTCAAAGGAAGCCACTTCTGGGAAGTCGCAGCTGATGGCAATGTTTCAGAGCCCCGTCCCCTACAGAAAAGGTGGCCTGGGCTGCCTCCCAATATCGAGGCTGCTGCAGTGTCGCTGGAAGATGGAGACTTCTACTTCTTTAAAGGTATCAGCCCCGAGTCAGCTGCGATTGAGATGGAAGTGCCCCCCAACAATGAGTCCCTGGTGGAACTCATTGTTGAACCTGTGGCCCAGGAAAGTTGGAGTTGGGAGCAGCAAGTGTCCAGGTTGTCCCGTGTAGAAACCTGTAGGGGGAGGACTGATCTCCAGTCCGCAGGTCAGCAGAAAGTCTGGAGGTGTCTGCCCTGGCAGCCTGGCCGTGTGTGGTTGGCATGCCACTTAGCTTTTGTAACTTGCATTCCTTGGATAGGGAAAGTAACACTCAGGTGTGATGAAGAAGTCAGATAAAAGGCATTGACTGAAGGGTGGGCAGCACACATCTGGACCTGTGGTAATATTGTATTGAACAGCATTCCTTCAAACAGTGCTGAGTACCTTGTGTCCTAGGCACAGGGAGAGGAGGGGACTGGAGACACAGTGGTCGATAAAACAAACACCTTTGCCCTCGAGCAATTAGTAGTAATCAGGGAGTGATGAAGACTTGAAGCCTTCTCAGTCTCCCATTCCACACAGAGGCAGGGAATCCTGCCTCCACACCCCTCCCCAACACCCTCCTACCCTCCCCAGCCTGGGATAAATAGGTTCATTCAGCGTCGTCTGCTCTCTGCTGGCACCTGCTGGGAGTCTAGACCATAACAGGTTCCCCTCCAAGGTGTACTCCTAGTTCTTAGCCACACTTGGGACTGGCTCTCAGGGGAACTAACTGTCTTGGGCTCCAAGAAAGGAACTAAGGGGACAGAGATGGGGTGGGGAGGCCGATGAGTGAGCGCCTCCAGCTCACCCTGGCTCTCTCAATGGCCCACAGGGAGTCGATGTTGGAGGTTCCAGGGCATGAAGTCTGTGTGGGGTAACTCACAACTGTGCCGGGCTGGAGGTCTGCCCAGACACCCAGACGCCGCTCTCTTCTTCCCGCCTCTGCGCCGCCTTGTCCTCTTCAAGGGCGCCCGCTACTACGTGCTGGCTCGAGGCGGGAAGCAAGTGGAGCCCTACTATCCTCGCAGCCTGAGGGACTGGGCGGGGGGCCCTGAGGAGGTCAGTGGCGCCCTACCAAGGCCGGATGGCTCCGTCGTCTTCTTCAGAGATGACCACTACTGGCACCTGGATCAAGCCAAACTGCGGGTGACCGGCTCCGGCCGCTGGGCCACAGAGCTGCCCTGGATGGGCTGTTGGAATGCCAACTCAGGAGGTGCCCTGTTCTGAAGGCGCCCCATACTGAATGAACAGTGGTTGCCCCCGCCCGAGGGGCGAGGCCTGTCTAGGAAGCCTTGAACCTCGCAGGAACTTCCCGGTAGCACTGGCTTCAGCAGGAAATCTGCATTTATTCCCCACCACCACCACCACCACCACTGTGGTCGAAGGAGAAACAAAAACAGGGTCCCCATAGCCCTTTCCCTCAAGGACCTCCTTCCTTCCCACTCCTGAGGGGATTCTGTTCTGATGAAGGTGCAGTCCCATGCCCATAGTGCTGAGTCCCACCAGAGAAGATGCAAAACTTAACTGGGAGGGGGGTGAGGACCACTCTGCAGGACCTCCCTTTCTATCTATGCCTTTCAGGCTCAGTTCCTGGGAAATCACGTATTATTCCATCAGAGACTTCACCCTACCTCCCATGCCCAGCAAGTTTGGGTGTGGTGAAGGCTCCTCTCCACTGTCAGGGGCGCTTTGCTGGATCAAGAAGCAGAGCAGAAGGGAATGTGGTCCTCTTAGGCCTGACTTCTTGTCTGGGGTGATGAAGAAGTACCCCTAGCTGGTCAGCCCAGAGATGTAGCAGCCTTCCTTGGGCAGCCTCAGTAGAAGCAGATGAGTGTGGGGTGCTTGAGACTCGGGGACCCATGCTCTTACATCCAACTAAGGGACAACCAGCTGCGTGTGGTTGTTGTGGAGAGAGGGGGTGCACCTCTCTTCAGAAAGCAGACCGTCTTCACCAGTTTGCCTTCCAGATGGACGTCTCTTGTGCAGCAGGAAGATGGCAGAGGGCCCTTTCCGGGTCTGACCATTGCAGGCACTGGGAATGCAGCCTCCATAGCGCTCTGCAGGTTGGGTGAGGCCCGTTTGCTCTCAATGGCCCCATTCTCCAGGCCACACACGCAGCAGCATTCCGAAGCTCATGCTGTCTAGCCAAGAATAGCTGGGATTCCTGGAGAAGGAACCAGCTCCCCAGCTTTCCCCCTTTGTCTGAGCCAGTCTCGGTATTAATTTTAGCATCTGGATCTCCATCCCACCCTGCCTCCTCCTCCACCTACCAATGCCTCTGCACACACACACACACACACACACACACACACACACACACACACTCACACACACACACTGACCACCGAGAGCCAGCTCTCAGGGAGGGGAGAACGATTTGGCAGGGGAGCAGCCCACAGTTCCCCAGAGGCATTGCTGGCCCCGTGCCCTCCTTTCTTCTCTGTGCCGTGGACAGAATGGCCTTTGACTGCCCTTAGATGCAAGTGCTTTGTACTGCCCTGTCCTGGGGAGACCATGGAGGAACCACCCTGCTATCCCCTGCTTTCTGGGTTGTACTCAGGAGAGAGAAAGGAGGGTCCCATCTTTATCACCCCACTCCACTTCAGGCAACTCTGATTTGAGACTTTATTGAGGGATTAGAGGGAAAGACGGAATGTCTTAAAGGACAGAGGGAACCCCGAGGCTGTTTTTCTCCAGGCGATGCCTCTGTTCGCCTGGCCAGAAAGACATGGAAAAGATGCAGGTGAGGATGAATTGGAGGCGTGGGTCAGGAGAGCTGTAGATGTTGGGTACTGTCTAGGGAGTAGTGCCTAGGTTCTGCTGTATAGTTTGGCGAGACAACAGGTGTGAACCGACAGTGGGCCTTTTCACCGGAAGGAGGCGCCAAGGACGGCAGTTTGAAAGGACAGCTCTGTGGAACGCACTAGAGATAGAAGAGTTTGGAGCTTTGCGGGTGCAGAGGCTGGGACTGGATGCACTCAGAGCTCCCGGCGGCCTCCGCCTTACTCGGGTCAGGGTGCTCCAGAATACAGTGCTCTATGTAGGCCGGGTGGCTATGCAGGCTCTTGCATTTCTTGCAGAAAAGGATCTCGCAGCGCGCACAAACCCCGCGGCGCGGTGGCCGCCGCCGCGTCTCCAACACGCACGGTTCTTCCGGGGCACCACGCTTCCTACGGGCCGGGGACGTGAGTGCTCAGTAGCCCTGCGGCCCTCCTCCCTAAAACTCGACCCCGGGTGCTTGCGTCTCACCTGTCCGCAGGAGCGGCCAGGCCACCCAGCAGCGCGAACGGGCTGAGCCAGCCCCAGAAGCCGCTGTCCGAGCGTCGCAGCAGCGCCACCTGCTGGGTGCTGGGCTCCTGGCGCAGCGGGCAGTAGCACACCGAGAGGGCCTCGCGCTCCTCCGCATCGCGGGCGTCCTCCTCGACCTCCGCCGTGCTCTCGGGATCCCGCTTCTCCACCTCCGACGATGACGACGACGACGACGACTCGTCCTCCGTCTCCTCCTCGCTGGCCTCGGGCTCCTCCACCTCCTTCTTCCACAGAGGGGTCTTCACGCCTGCAGGCGGGGAGGGGGAGCCTGAATCCAGCATGCCTGGGGGAGATGCGGCCGTCCAGCTGCTGCCTGCCAAAGGGCTTCGGAGTCCCAGATTCCCGGACTGCGGCCAAGTTCCCGCCCTCCTGAGCTTCCTTGCTAAGGATTCCAAGCAAGTCACCTCGCTTCCATCAAGCTCCATTTTTTTTTATTTTTTTATTTTTTTTATTTTCCCGTCTCTGAAGCGGGAAAAGTAGCACCTACCTCAATAGTGGTTGTGAGGCTGACTCTAGATAGTGTCTGGGTAAAACACACAGTTTCCTGCTTGCCGTTGTGCAAGCAATCAACGAACATATATTGCCAACACGGAAGGAGGAGGATTACCCAACGTTAATAAACATCAATTGCTATTTCAATAGGTGGTCGTTTATGGTTTTTTTTAAAGGTAGTTCTCATAATCATTATTATTATTAACTATTACACAGTCTCACTATGTAGCTCTGTCCGTAACTCACTATATAAACCAGGCTGGCCTGGAACTCACAGAGCTCTGCCTGCCTCTGCCTCTGCCTCCTGAGTATGTTTGTTTCTAGTTTTGACTTTCCCTGGTAGAAGCCCAGGGTCACTGGAGGCTGGGTGGACAGGCATAGCTGACTAAACCGGAAACTGATTTCAGGCTTGGCCAATTGCGAGTGGATTTCAGCCACACTGCCCCTCTCTAGCTGACGGACATCATAACTGCAAGTAGCAGATCGGCCTGAAGCAAGTTCCTCAGCTGAAACTAAGCAGGTCTTCCCTGCAAGATATCCATTCCATCAGCAGATATTCAACTAGCACATAGGCAGTCCCAGGACAGCTGGATGTATAGTGCAAAGAGGGGGCGGTACTTGGGGTTTGCCCTGGAAAGACCAAGGACAATTTCTATCGCCCATTGTCCATCTTTTCCCCAAGCTAGGAATTGACTAGATTGATAGTAAAGGGCAAGAAAGCGTGTGTGTGTGTGTGTGTGTGTGTGTGTGTGTGTGTGTGTGTGTGTGTGTGTGTGTGTGTGTGTGTGTGTGTGTGTGTGTGTGTGTGTGTGTGTGTGTGTGTGTGTGTGAATCTTTTTTTGTTTTGTTTTGTTTTTTGTTTTTGTTTTTCGAGACAGGGTTTCTCTGTGTAGCTTTGCGCCTTTCCTGGAACTCACTTGGTAGCCCAGGCTGGCCTCCAACTCACAGAGATCCGCCTGGCTCTGCCTCCCGAGTGCTGGGATTAAAGGCGTGCGCCACCACCGCCCGGCTGTGTGTGTGAATCTTAACTGTTAAATTGACAGGATCAAAAAACACCTAAGAGAGTTTGTGTGAAAGGGTTTCTAGGTTGGTTTAACTAATGTGTGAAGACCCACCCTGAATATGAGTGACACCATCCCATGGGCTAGTCTGGGACTGAATACAAAGGAGAAAGCATGGTGATCTGTTTTCTGGGTGCAGACACCATGTGACCTCATGCTGCCACCATGATTTCCCCATCACAAGGGACTGCACCCTCAAACTGGGAGCCAGGATAACGCTTTCCTTCCTTAAGCTGCTTGCTTGTGTCGGGTATTGTCACAGCAAGGAGGAAAGCAAGTGACCGCCAGGCACCACGTACATGCAGCCCACACGCTCAGCTCTTCACAATGCTGCGTCATCCCGGAGCCTACAATGTGGGTGACGTGGTGGGTCACAGAGGGGTCTCTAAATGTGACTGAGAATATCTGAAACTGCCCATTCTTGCTCTGGCCGCAGGTGGAGACCCAGGGAAACAGATGGAGACGCTGGTTGGGAAAGACCAGGCCTAACACATCCAGAAGGAGGTGCTGGGACATTTTGGGAAGGGGGGGCACGGGTATGGGGTTAGAAAGGGAGGTTAGGACCTGGAGCTGTTTGTCACTGACAGGAAGCAGTGAGTGTTCTGATGAAGAGACATGCTCAGAACTGTAGAATGTTCCCTCCAACAAGACAGGGGACTCACTTTAAGAGTCATGACAAGCTAGGTGGTGGCTCATGCTGATGATGTCAGCGCTGGAGAGGCTGCAGCAGGGTGGTTGCTGAGAGGTCAGGCCAGCAGTCTGTGCTACGTAATGGGTCCCGGGCCAACCTGGGCTACAATCTGAGTCCCTGTCTCAACCCCTGCACTCTATTTTTTTTGTTTGTTTTTTGAGTTTTTTTTTTTAAATATTTATTTATTTTTGAGACAAGGCTTTACTATGTAGCTCTGGCTGTTCTGGAAATCACTATGTAGACCAGGCTGACCTCAAATGCCCAGAGATCTACCTGCCTCTACCTCCTGACTGCTGGGATCAAAAACATGTACCACCATGCCTGGCCCCCCTCTGCTCTGAAACAGTTCTTTACTGTGGGGTGAAAAGGGCTGAGGAAAAAATACCCTGTACCTGACTAGAAAAAAACTCCCTGACTTGACCTCAGGACCAGGGCTTGAAATCCCTGAGCTTGCCCCAGAGTCAGGCTGCAGAATCCAACCAATCCCCAAGCTTGCCCCAAAATCAGACCACAAAACCCCATCAATCCCAAGCCACCCTGGAAAGCTCCATCCCCACCCCACCCCCCAAGATGCCCTATATAAGCTCTGTACCCTGTTCAGTTTGCTGCTGCTTCTCACCCTAGGGATGGCCACCCTCCTGGATTCTTCCTGCCCCAAAAATCTCTTGAGTGAGGTTTGTTGCACCATGTGGCATTTTCTCAGGAGTGGAGCCCAGCTATAACAACTTTCTTTGGAGCCAGAGCAGAGGGGAGCAGAACAGAACTGCAACACTTTCACTGGGGAAACTTTCCCTTAGGGGAGCAGAGCTGTAACACTTCTCCAGAGCAGAGCAGAGCTGTAACAACTTAGCTGGGGAAACCCACCCCTGCCTGAGCAGAGTTGTTACATTGGGAACCTTTCCCTGGAGCAGAACTGTAAGCTGCTACTCTCACAGTGACATCGTGGTATTCCTTGGCTTCTGACTGCCAGAATACCTCTCTATCCAAGCCGCGATGCTTACACTTACATCCCGGCCAGAGAAGACAGTAAGAGGTCTAAAAGGGAACAAGAGAAAGGAGAACTGACGGTGGATGACAAGAATATTTAGGAAGGAGAAAGTAGAGGGCTATAGCAACATGGACGAGTAACTGAGAAAATGTTCAATTTTTCTAATGTCACCATGGTGATGGGATGGTTGGTCCAAGATGAGTCAAGTGGTCCTATCTTGGTTCATACCCTTTCTAGCCACACTCACCATGCTTATCCATTCTTTATAATGTTGTACTTTCTGTTTCCTATGGACAGGGACTGGGGTGTAAGGGATGCCCAGTGCCTATAGAACTCCATACGGTTTCCAGGACCTCTGTTGGATCACAGAGGGGTGGGGATAGAATCTCAGCTGCCCATAGGGCTCTGCTTAGGGACTGATGCCTTTTCCAGAACCTCCAGACTCAAACCCCTCATGTCCCCTACCTTGCCCCAAGGAGGACCCCAATGAAGAATAGAAGATGGCTTTGGCCCCACATAAGACTGGGTTCAAATCCCAGCTCTACTGCATAAATATAAAACCTGTCAGACCTTCAGCGAAAAACATTTTACAGGAACAGTTCAGTTAGGCTGCTGCTGGAGGCGACACCTAGATGTGGGCATCAGGAGTCAACTCCTTGAGTCGTTCCCTAAGGCCCAGTATCCTTTGGCAGGCACACCTGAACCAATAAAATCCAGCCTGTGACTTAGGAAATATTCTAAGACACAAATGTCCCAAGGACCAGTTGCTCGTCTCACCTGCCTCCCCAGGCCCAATCTACCCAACAGCCTTTTGTCTGTCACTTTTCTCAGGGTAATTCTGGAGTTTATGGAATTTTCTTTTTTAATGGGGGGCAGGGCACTGGAGAGATGGCTCGGCCGTTAAGAGCACTTGTTGCTCTTGCAGAGGACCCTGTTTGGTTCCCAGCACCCACATGGTGACTCACAACTCCATTTCTAGGGGATCTGGTACCACCTTCTGGCCTTTGCAGGCACCAGGCACGCACGTGGTGCACACATTTACATGCAGGCAAGAAAACATACACATAAGATAAAAATAAGTCTTTAAAAATTTTTTTAGAGTGTCATAAAAATAACACTAGCATAAAATCATGTCAGGACTTGTTCTCAGAATAAAAAACAGTCACAGAATAAAAACGATCTTAAGTGAAAACATGTGAAGAAGCAATCTTACCAGAATATGAGGTGCATGCCTCCTGCACTTAAGTGCCACTCAGAAGCCCCCTGGAGAGGAGGCCCCCATTAGGAATGAATAAAAATTTGGAATGGGCTGATCTCCATGCAAAGAGAGGGAAGAGAATGATCTGCATTTATGGACAAGCCCAAGCACTACTTCCTGCTGTTCACAGAGTTTATGCCCAGAGAGCAAGGTGAGGCTGGATAGCAAAAGGTGATGCACACCTGTGACTCCAACATGCGGGAACCTGAGACAGAACGATTGTGAGTATGAGGCCAGCCTGGGCTACATATGAGACCCTGATGTGTGTGTGTGTGTGTGTGTGTGTGTGTGTGTGTGTGTGTGTGTGTGTGTGT